TTCTGTCTTATTGACTGAATGAGTCTGCTTGAGGACCAGGCTCTCTCTCCTCTGGATATGCTGGCCTTTGCACAGATTCCCATTTGCTAGTCTAATCTAGACCTGGCTAGGTATTCAAGAACAGGCTGTGTAGACCTATCCCTCTCCAGCCCTTGTACAATAGGATCAAAGACCTTCCCTCCCTTCCCACCCTTCCTTCCATCCAATAGTACTCAGCAGACGCCAGAACCTTAAGGCATGTAAAAGGTCTGCCATCCTGATATGTGAGTTAATGGTAGTCATACCCACTCTTTACTAAGCAGGTTCCTAGCACTCTGCAAAGCATGCTGTGTGGGTGTGGTCTGCTGGGAAGTCTTCCTCCTATGTGACAGGAAAAATAAATAAGGAACTCTCTAGACTAATCAGTTGAGGTTTTTGTGTGGCTTCCTTTGAGCTATCTACTTTCTCAGTTCTCACATATACCATCAAGAAAAGAGGAATGGGTTCCCTCTGCTCCAGTTGGAAACACATTCAGAGGAACTCATGTCAATTCTTCCTAAATATTCACAGATATATGCATTTTCGTACTTAAGGGTTAATACATCTTCCTATTTGGCAAACTGGAAACATTTAATTAGAGACATTCTAAAATGTTATAAAAGCGAAATCCTCATGGAACTAACAATCCTTTCCAATGATCTCAGTTCTACACTACAAATTCCAGTGTATTTCCTTTCTCTGATCCCCACGTCCCTTAGAGTTTTCTGCATTCTCTGAAATTGCAGCACTAAGTTAAAGACTGCAGGATCTATTTGGTGCTCACTACTGAATTCTTGCAGCACTGTCTGTTGTGTTGTGTCACTTATTCTCTATATTTCTTTCTTTCCCTTGAAGTTCCTAATGCAGTGGTTGGTTGGTGACTTAATCTGTTAGCATATGGAAGTAGCTGGCGTGTAATCCTCACAAATCCTTGATTCCCTTAGCTAGTACTGATGTAGTGCCCAGGCCAGCCTCTGGGAAAACCCCATATTTTCTCTGTTATCCATTTTCCCTGAATGTTGCAAGGAAACTGTGAGTCTGGGACAGAGCTGGTTCCTTCTAGGTGTGGCCTCCCAGAAGCCAGGAATCCAAGGGAAGGCAGCTTCTGCTTCTAATCCTAAGCACTGTTCTGCCCATTACCACTCAGGGGGAAGGCCCAAAATACACACACACACACACACACACACACCTAGGATCAGCTACATAATTTGTGTGCCCAATGCCGAATGAAAATTTGGGAATCCCTGTTCAAAAAGTTTCAAGTATTCAAGATAGCAAGAGTAGAGAATTAAACCAAATGGAGCCATTCTAAGCAAAGCCTTGTGAACCACACAAACTGCAGACCCACAGAACCCACCATGTCTCTACTGGGCCTCCAGGAACAAGGCTTGGCCCTTCTTCCATGGTGACTCAGCTTTGTCCTACTGTTCTCCCCACAACACAGACACAGGTTGAACCCAAGGAGAGCCCCACAGAGCAAGAAACTCAGCTTGGCACTCTGTGCCCACCTGCCTTGGCACCAGAAGCCTGTGAGCCTGTCAGAAATGTGGGCTCTGACTCCACCTCAGAACCACTGAACTGGCATCTGCATTTTAACAAGTCCCCAGAAGACTCCTGCGCACATTAAATTTGGAGAACACTGGGTAGAGCTCTGTATTTGATACTGCCCTGTTTTGCTGACTTCTCAGATACCCTGGCAAGAAGTTCCTCTAGGGTTCTCAGTGGTTGACAAGTTTAAGCCTGTAGGGAAAGGAAGACAGTGACCAGAAAAGAGACAAGAAATAATGGAGTTGGTTAAGTGATGTCTGAGGCATGTCACAGGCCTTCAGGCAAATGCCACCAGTAGCACAGCTGCAGTTGAACAAGTTGAGTTTTAAAATGATACAAATGAGAGGATGCACACTACAAAAGCAGTGGGAGCATGTTTTAAAATGGGAGTTAGAAAGGATTCAGTATAGGAGTTGGGATTGTGGTAGGCAGTCTGTCTTTATACATTAAAATGTATCAGTTGTTTCTTTTAATGTCTCTGGATTTTGAATCACAGGTTCTCTCTATTCTAAAATTAAATAGGAAGTCATTTATGTTTTCTGCTAATATTTGTATCTCCTCTACATTTATATCTCCAGTTCAGTTGCATTTTATTTTGATGTAAAGTATTAATAAGGATCTTTTATATTTTGCAAATAGCTACTCATTTTTTTCAGCACTGTTGAAGTCTTTTATTTTTTTGCTCCAGTGATTTGTGGTTGCACCTTGAGATGCCACCAGTATACCAAGTTTCCAAAGGCATTTCTGTCTATTCCTAGGCTATTCTGTTTCACTGGTCTTTTGAGATATTCATGTACCAATACTACTGTTTTAAATGCACAGACTTTATAGTGTGTTTTAATGTCAAATAAGGTTAGTTTCTTCAGTGTTTCCAGTTTTACTGTTTTCCTAGCTATTCTAGAACATTACAGTATACTCTCTCAAAGTCACAGTTCAGAGTTCATAGCCTCAGTCGTTCGCAGATTTTTCCTTAAAATCTAACTAGCAGTTTTTCACAGAAACCCCCACAATTTCGTAGAAAGTACAAATATCCTCTGCAATTCTTTTTTTGGCAGGAGGTTTCCAAGTAGCCAATCTGAGAGTGTTATTCAGTTCTCCTTGCTGCTGATTGGCTGCTGCCCCGTAACTCATCTCTGTACCACCATTCCCATCATAACAGGTTGATGTATCACATGTAGCTATCTCCAGTGTTCTCAGTTTTGTTCTTCTTAAATCCCTAATATCCCTATGATGCCACCAAAACACCCTGCACCTTCTAAGGCTTCATTAGTACAGTATTTTATTAAATTAAATTACATAACTGCGGGAGACATAGCATATTTAGGGTTTTTACTACAAAAATAGGCATTTTTCTGACCATATATGAAGTTCTTGGTTTTTCACAATTTGTGGGTGCTCTAGGCATAACCCCCGCAAATTTGGGGGGGTCCACTGTATTTCTTTTCTACATTGTACTTGCCAAGCATGCATAACCTGAATTTAATCATGAGGAAATATAAACCCAAACTGAGTGACATTCTATAAAAGAACTGGCTAATACTCTTCAAAGGAGCCAAAAGAATGAACAGAAAGAATCAGGAATTATCTCAGATTAAGGGAGACTATGGAGACAACAAATTCACTGTGCAGTCCTAGATGGAATTTTGGTCCATAAAGGAGCTTAGCACAAGTGATGAAATGTGAATGAAGTCTGTAGATTAGGTAATAATAATGTTTCAATGTTAACTTCCTGGTTTTAATTTTACTGTGTTCATGTAAGATATAGACATTTGGGGAAACAGGACAAAGGAAATAAATAAATTTTTTATTTTTGCAATTTCTTTGTAAGCCTGAAATGATTTAAATTTCAAAGGTAAACAAAATAAGATGAAGAACATCCAAGCATAGTGGTGCCTTTCAGCACTCAGGGGAGTCTGAGGCAGAGGGATCAAAAATTCAAGGCCAGCCAGGGCTACATAGCAAGACCTTGTCTCAAAAAATTTTGAAAACATTTTAAGTCAGATACAATATATATATACATTATAGTTTACTTAGCAAACATCTAAATATTTCATATACAGTAAATCTCTTTGCCAAGTGGAGTGGCGTACTTGCTACAGACAAAATCAAAGAAAGCAAATGGATGAGCAAGACATCTTGTTGTGGCGGGGGTGGGGGGAGACTTGTGGGGACATTTCATACAGCAGTGGCTTTGACTGAACTGTCAGTACAAGAATCAGGCTCTTAGTAAGTCTACTGAGTCTCTTATGAGGACCTGGCAACCATGTCTAGGTGATGTGGGGCTCATTTCAGATGGCAAGCAGGATGTCTGCTATCTTAGTCTGTTTTGCCCAGGTGAAAAGATCCATGGCGGAGGATGCACATTATAGTCATTGATTATCAATGATGCCAGAGTCATCCACACAGCTACTGAAGTTGCCCATGATGGTGTGAGTTAAGATGCAAGTTTAGTAGCTGGTTGAACTCAGTTTTACCAAGTTGTATTTTTTTTTTAATGAATGTGGAAGAATGACTAGGAGATTATTAGATGGCAACTTAGGTAACAGTGTGGGACCCTGTTTCTGCTTCTTGTTTAACCAGGAGTGTTATCTTTTCTGTGCCTCAGTTTCCTCGACTACACCTTGAGATAACAGTCTCTAAGACATAGGCCACTGTGAGAACTAAATGAATATACAAAAAGTGTGTGGTAATACTGATCACATCATAAATTTAGTTGTTACTATTAAAGAGACCAGTATATAAATCATTACAACAAAATATTTTAGCAATATCGTACAAACACAGAAAAAACTGACAAATCACTTAAAACTGTATCTAGGACTATCCAAAGTCTTCAGTGTTGAGAGCTGAGGTGACTAATAAAGCCCCAAGCCAGGTGTAATGCCAGCACTATGGGAGATAGAGACAGAATGACAAGTTCAAGCCCAGCTAGGGTAACTTAGCCACTTAGCAAGACCCCTCAATCTAAAAAAAAAATTAAATAAATAATTTTAAAAATTAAAGGGCTAGAAATGTAGCTCAGTGAAAAGGTCCTGGGTTCAATCCTAATAACAACGGCAGCCCAAGATGTGGGATGAACGCTCACCATATGCTAGGCACCGAGTCAGCAATTTCACAGGTAACTGTTACAACTCTGGAGCATGTGTCCTTTCATTCTGGAAGAAAGCTCAGAGAAGTTAAACTTGCTCTGTGGTAGGCACACATAAATGAAAAGAAACTGATTCTTTTTTTCTCCCCTGCTGTCAGGAAGGGAGAAAGTCGGGGTCTGCAGCACGGTAGGCAAGCGTTCTAACACCAAGCTACATCCTTGGGCCTGGAGTTGGGATTTCTAAAAGTCAGTGGATCTGGTAGGAGAGCGGCTAGGCAGACGGCTCTTCAAAGGCTGTGGTAAACAGTGGATCACTGAGTGCGGGCGGGGCTGGGTGCTTCCAGACTGCTTTATCTATGGATTTCTGCTGGGCACATTTGGCCTTGAATCCTAGGGCAAAACTGGGGTAAAGGATTTTAAACAGAAGGTCAGAGTGAGTGGAAACCTCAGGTCCTCAGGAGAGCAGGAATGGCGGCCAGTCCCAGGCAGGGACAGCGCGCAGGGTGACACGGGTCCCACGAGGCCCTTCTCAACTTCACCGTCCCGGGCCGGCTCCCCACAGGTTCCGCTGGACCCCTGAAGACGAGATGGGGAGCCGCCGGTCGCAGGCTGCTGACACGCCACCGCCTGCAGGGCAGGAGCCACCAGCCTGATGCCAACCCTCTGCACTCTCAGGGTGGGGTGCCCCAGCTCCTGTCCGGGTGCCGCCCTTTGAGTCACGAGCGGACTGTGGTCATGCGACTGTAAATCACATGACCGCGATCACGTGAGCCTGTCCCATGGGGGCTGAGACAGGGCCTGGGCTTCAGTCTCTGAGGTCCGGGGAGGCTGGCACTGTGGCCCCGGAGCAGTCGAGCACGGTGAGATAGGGCTTCGGGCTGGGCCAGTCCAAGCAGGAGGGTCCGCCCCCGGGGCCAACGTGGTCTCGTCCTTCCCGCTGCAGATGAACCAAATGACCCCGGACCGGGAGCGGGCACCGGCGGTCGTCAGAGGCCACGTGGGAGCGACCCTAGTCCGTGGAGGAGATCCGCAGGAGCACCCAGAGCTGGTCGCTGGCTGCTGACGTGGGCTTGAGAGGCGGGCCCGGCATGCAAGGGAGGGAGAGCAGGCCCGGGGCCTCGGCGTTCCCTGCTCCGGGCCATCCCTGGGAAGGAGGTCACGTTCTCTGCGAAGCCCTCACGGAAGTCCCCAGGCACCAGGAAGGGAAAGGGCCGTGGGCCTCTGCCCCGGAGTACTCGGTCTCTGGCCTTGACTCAACTTATTTGGATGTTCTAGCGATGTGCCCGACTCCATCCCAATGGGCAGATCCATTTCTGCCAAGCTGAAGATGCCTATGGCTCTGTTGAGGCGATTGCGTTTGGACCTGGACCGAGTAGGGTAGGAGATGAGCCAGTATGTAGAGATCCCTGAGACTCTTCCAGATTAGACTCTATAAAGCCCAGAACTCTTTTTTTTTAAATTCTTTTATTGGTACATTTTAGGTATACAACACAATTACGTTTCTCATTGGGAACTTGTACCTTTACATGATGCATCTTGGTTCTTATTTTTTCCCCATTCCTAGCCCTCCCTTCACCCCCTCCACCCTTCCCTATTTACGAAGACTTTATTTTCATTTTTTCCATTTCTCAGCATTTTTCCTTTCCCCTGCCCCTCCCACTACCCCTACCCCTTTGGATATTTTCTTCCTATTTTGCATTATCGATTATTCATTCTAATCATCAGTACATTTTAGGTATACAGTATAATGACATTCATCGTTGGAAATTTGCACCTTTACATAATCTCTCTTGGTTCTTATTTTTCACCCTTGCCCAGCCCTCCCTTCAACCCCTCCATTCCTCCCTATTTACAAAGATTTTGTTCCTATTTTTCCATTTTCTCATATTAATTCCATACCCTTCTTTCCTTTCCCCTAGCCCTCCCACTTCCTTCCCCTTTGCCCCTTTTCTTCCTATTTCACATTACCTATTATACATTTTAGTCCTTATTTACACTTTCAGTTTCTGACACGAGAGAAACTAATCGGTATTTACACATGTGTGTCCTATTTATTTCACTTAAGAGTGTCGCCTCAATGTGCATCCATTTAGCTATAAATGTCTCTAATTTCTCATTTTTTATGGCTGGGTAGTACTCCATTTTATTTAAAAAACACATTTTCTTTATCCAGTCTCCAGTTGATGGGCATTTGGGCTGTTTCCAAGTTTTAGCTAATACAAACTGTGCTGCTATGAACATGGGTGCACATATATCACTGTGGTATGATTCTTTTAATTCTTTGGGGAAGATCCCCAGCAGTGGAATAGCGGGGTCAAATGGGACTTCCAGTCCTAGTTCTTTGAGGTATCTCCATACTGATTTCCACAGTGGTGACAGCAGTCTACACTCCCACCAGCAGTGGAGCAGGGTTCCTCTTTCCCCACAGCCCCGCCAGCATTTGTTATTGGTTGATTTCATGATAGCAGCCGTTCTTTCTGGAGTGAGGTGGAATCTCAGTGTTGTTTTCATTTGCATCTCTCGAATGACCAGTGATGTTGAACATTTTTTCATGTATTTATGTGCTGTTTCTACTTCCTTGTCTGAGACATGTCTATTCATTTCAGATGCCCATTTTTGGATTGGGTCTTTAAATTTGGGAGGTCTGATCTTTTTAAGTTCTTTATAGATTCGAGATAGTAGACCTTTGTCTGAGGAAAAGCAGGTGAAGATTTTTTCCCACATTGTGGGTTGTCTCTTCACACTGCTGGTGGTTTCTCTTGCTGTGCAGAAGCTTTTTAGTAAAAAGAGATCCCACTTGTTGATTCTGCTAGTTCACAGGCAACTGAGCTTTTGTTCATAAAATCTTTTCCTACACCGATGTCTTCAAGAGTTCTACCTAACCTCTGTTCCAACTGGTTCAGCGTTTCTATTTTAATATTTAGATCTTTAATCCATTTCAATTTTAGTTTAGTGCATGGTGAGAGATACAGATTTAGTTTTAATCTTTGGCAAGTTGAAACCCAATTTTTCCAGCACCATTTATTAAAGAGGCTATTTTTCGTCCAAGGCCCAGAACTCTTAATTCCCAAGTCCAATATGAATAAGAATGACCACCCAACAGGATTTCAAAATTCCTCAGAAAGGAAGTAGCCTATAAGTGCCTATGGACTCCATGCCACTTGTTCAGTGAGCTTTCTTAATGTTTTGCGATGCCAGTATCATCATAAGCATTCATCCGTTTACATCCTAACACGTGAAGGTGAAAGGCTGTGGGTTCTTTTTGTTTTGACACACTTAATAGATGTGTGTAATACCAGTACTATTGTGTGTTTATTTTAAAAAACAGCTACTGCAGTTTCTACGGGAATTTTCACAGCAGACCATCTCTAGGACCCATGAAATCAAGAAACAAGTGGACAGACTGATTCAGGAGACGAAAGCCACGGATTGTCACCTTCATAGTGTCTTCAATGACTTCCTCATGCTGGCCACTACCCAGTGTATTGAGACAGTGAGTTTTTACTTATATTATACTTACAAATAATACCTTTTGGGGAGCAAGAACTATTGTCATTCTAAGCTCTCTCCTGAATTTTAGTGGGCAGTTCTCAGTAAGCGAAGCTTCTTTCTTTAGGATCAATGCCTGTTCTTATTAGTAAAGTTTGCATTTTTTTAAGCCTCTATGAGAAATCTAATGATGGTCTGGGGATTTAACTCAGTGGTTCTGGCTCCTGCCTCGCAAGCGCAAGGTCCCGAGTTTGATCCCCAGTACCAAAAAATAAAGAAGAAATCTAATGATAACATTTCCTCATATTCCAGTCTTTCCTTTTTTTGTTTTGAGAGTATTTAACTGTCATGCTGAAACCTGTTGTAGCACATTCTTTCTCTTGAGACTGTTAAATGTAAAATCCTAAAAAAGACTCTCAAACTTAGAAGATTCTAGAAAGCCCATGATTTAGGATTAGGAGGATACCATGAATGCCATATGGGCAGCATGTGTGTACATATTTTAGTAGCTCAGGTTGAAATCCCATTTCTATCCTTTTTGCAGGGAACTGTATGTGAAATGAGGACCTTAATAGAGATCTCTTTGCTTATTATTTTCTTTAGTGGCAAAGGGAAATTTGTGAGTTTGAAATACAACAACTATTCAAGTAAAATCATTGTATGTTGAATGTCCTTTATCTGGAACACTTGGGACCAGAAGTGTTTTAGATTGTAGGCTATACTAATAGACTATACTGATTCAGCATCCCTAGTCTAAAATGCTCCGGAATCTAAAGCTTTGTCAGTCTCATGTCAGTGCTGAAAAGGTTTTGGATTTCAGATTTTCAGGTTAGGGATACTCAACCAGAGATGGTTTTCTGGTCATCTACACAGGATGTCCATAATTGGTCCTGAGCATTTCCCATCCTGGAAGAGTCAGCTTAGGGGAGATTGGTCTCTAGTTCCCTGGTGAATGCGGCCCTATGGCAGAATTTGGTGTCCTTTTAAATATTCCTGTTGCTGGATCAGGTGCTGAGCTCTTCTCTGCAGTCAGTGAGTGTTGCACCTCTAGACCTGGTAAGGAGTAGATTTTGGAGGTTTTCCTTGTCACTCAGCTTCACCACACCAAACTGGCACTGGATTGGTACTGGATCAGTCTAATAGTGAGAAAAGGAGTGTATCATAAACTTCATTTTTGAAATTACAGTCTTCAGGTGGCCTACAGTGATGGGGGCCTTTGGTTTCATGGCAGTTTGTTGGAAAGAGTATTCCAAATCAGATGGGCTTCTGGGTTTTATTAATTAGCCTTAGAGGCAGCTGCACAGTTGCAAAACACATTTGAGAGTTACAGAAACAATGTGGAATTTGTAGGGCAAGAAAACTAGCACTTTGGTAAAGGCTCAAGGGGGGACCCTGAAGAAGGAGAAATGCTAATTAATGTTGGCAGTGTTTCCGGTCTAATTAAATGGCACAGTTCTTAAAGATTCATTAATCTGTTAATTTAGGACCTTTATCTTGAAATGCTAAGTGCCATGATAATCATTTAAGTTAGTTAAGAGATATCGCAAAGGATTTTTTTAAAGTCATTCGTTTCAAACTCTTTAGCATCATAAAATTGAAAATTTTTTTTTTCAAACATAAAACTTCAATTAATTTTCCAGATCATCTTCCTATTAATTTATAAAAGCTGTTTTTTGGTCATTTTTTTTCCTTCTTTTTCTACTTTTATGTTGAAGAAACAGATGCACTTTCCAAAAATTTTAGACACGTCAACAATCTGGGGGACGGAGCTTAGGGCCTTCTTGACTGTAACTTCTGTCCTCCCTCCCCCATCCAGAGCTAGGAGGGAAACTCTGTGTTTGGCACACTTATAAGTCCATCTTCCTGTAGATACTGTGCTTTAAAAAATTAGACCTATAGGAAAATCAACTTAATCTCACCACCCCAAATTAACCATCCAGTAAACATTTTGGTAGATTTTTTTTTTCTGGTCTGGGTGACTGTATGTGTTTATAACCTGCATTTTCCTGAACTTTTCAGCCTTTAATACATCTTTGAAACTTTTATGAGCTTAATTCTTATTAGATCCATTATATGACTATATTATACTTTAGTAATTCTCTATCTAACATGAAAATTTCATATTTAAAGAAAAGTAGAGAGCCACAGATGCTAAGAATAAGCAGCACCTAGCATTCCTTAATAGATTTTAATATTTTATCACACCTTTTTCAAAGGCACCAGCCCTCTCTCCCCCATATTTTTCCCTAAGTATAAACATTTGGGGTGAGGACCCCCTTGTATCTCTGCTAGGAGACTCTGTGGATATGTGTGAGCACATGTATGTGTAATAATAGAGATTTCATTTTTTCCATATATATAACCTTTATTGTGTAGCTGTCCTTTTCCTCACTGACTGAATAGTGTGAATGTCCTTGAGCATGAATGCATGTTTGTGTGAATATAAAGTCAGGCCTGTATGTAACTGGGTATTTCCAACCCAAGCTCCTTATTGTACACCAGCATCATTATTAAACGCCGCAGATTACTAGTGTGTCTTCACAAGCCAAGTCCCCATAGCTTGTTTTTATCCACAACTGCCATAGTTATTTAACTTTGGCCTTTGACTTTTCTGTGTGGATTTGAAGATTAACTTGCAATTTTGTTCTGCAGAAAATCTTGCTAGCATTTTATTGGAATTGCATAGAGTGGTAGATTTGGTATATGTGACTTTCCACTACAAATTGTGATATCACGAGCATCCTCTGGGAGGTAGGATTCTTGGGTCAGGGGATACATTTAAAATAATATTGTTTGATGAGATTGGCTGATATTTTCATGAAAGTGGACAACATCCCCTGTTAGTGAAGGCTTGGGACACAGGTTGGTACACCGGTGATGCCAGTGAGTTGTGACACATTTCTTCATAGGAGTCTAGGTGTAAGCATGAAGGTTGCAAAAACTCTGTCCTTTGGTTTCGTAATCCTCTTTAAAGAAGCCTGCAGAAATAAAAGGACAGGTGCCTAAGAACATAGGTATGGGTGGGTTCAGAGCAGCTTTGTTTTCAGTAGCAAAAATTGGAAATCTTAATATTCACCCATGGGAGATGAACTAAATAAAAGGACTGAATCCCATCTCTATGTATTGATCTAGAAAGTGGTTTATGAGAACACTAAGTGAAAATACAGGCCAGAGAGATGTGTATAATATGAGTGCATTTTTATTTAAAAGCAGGAGGGTATTTGTGCATCTGTACATATATATATTTGTAAAAGAGCCTTAGACCCCAGGAACACACACATCAAACTTAACTTGCGTATCCCAATGGTTAGGTTGAAGTAGGGCAAGAATCATGCATCTCTCTTACATGTATCTTTATACACATTGATCGTCCTTAATCCAAAACCCTGAAATTGAAAAGGCTTTCAGATTTTGAAGCATTTTGGATTTCAGATTTTCAGGTTAACAATGCTCAACTGGTAAAACCTGTATAAATATTCCAAAATCTCTTCAACTTTGAGGTACATCTAATCCTAAGCTTTTAGGTAAGTGATACTCAATGGCTGTTGATTTAAAATTTCCTAAGTTGAGCTAGGATTCACGTACTATATGACTCACTCTTCTAAAAAAAACATGCAGTTCAGTAGGTTTTAGAGTATTCACAATGTTTTATAGCCATGGCCACTGTCTAATTCCGGTGGAGTTGACTTTCTGCTTTCGTGTGAAAGAGGTACAAAAGTTTATCAGCCATGTTAAACAACAGAATGAAAATAAATTTTCCTTTTCCTTTTCCATTGCTGTAGGTGTTAGTATCTTGTGACCTTCTTGATAGGTTGCAGCAGGTGACATCCTCCATAGCCCTGGGGAAGAATACCTGTCCCTTTGTTCTGTAGCATGTGTATTAGGTTAAGCACAGTGTGAAAACCCCTGTCTTAACTGTTTTTGCAACTCTCAGGCCAACCATGGGACTGAACTCTTCTTCATGTTTCCTAGTCATTTGCATCTTTTTTCTTTTAGCTGTGGACTGACTTCTGTCCTTTCCCGATTGTCCATGGCGCACTGGTTGTGGCCTCAGCCATTTGCTGACTAATCATTTCCTTCTGCATCTTGCCTTTTTATGACTGAATATTGAAATCATACATTGTGGTTTACCTCAGATCCTGGTTTGACCTTTGAACCTGACTTTGCTTGCCTGTTTAGCAGTGCACGACGAAGAAGTAGAGGAGCCTGGGGCTCAAGGTGGAGGCCGAGAAGACAAACCAGGTACTTGGATTCAGTCCCTCTTTGCACAAGTTCTTGACTTGGAAAAGAGCAGCAACTGAAACTTGTGATGTGTCTTGTGGGGGTGGTGGGAAGGGATGGACACAGGGAAACGAGGTGACTCTCTTGACAGCAACCCAATTGAGTGCCTTCATTTCTTCCTCAAAGTTAGCATATTGAGTAACAGGTAGATTGAATTCCTGAATTCTGCCTTAAAAATAGAGAGAAGTCAGTGGACTTTTTCCACAAAGGGGCAGATAATAAATCCTATAGGTTTCATAAGCTGCAAAATCTGCCTCTTCCTCCCTGTACTCCTCTTCACTTCCTGCTTCCTTCCCCACCTATCTCTCCTCTTCCCCTCATCACTTTCCTCCTTCCTCTTTCTTCCCCTTTCAACCCTTTAAAAATATAGCAGCCGTTCTTGACCATTACTAAAAGAGGCTCTGGGCTGTAGTTTGCCAACTTCTGAAATAGACTATTATGCAGGTGAGCCCTTTAAACCAAATTTCTCTGTTCCTTTCATGCCTGCTTTGACTCTTCCATCTATCAAAGTGACTGGAAGGTGACTGAATCTGGTTTAGTGTTCAAATGTGATTACCTCTGGTGTGCCACAGGATGTGTTAGTGCAGATAGTGTGGACTATGTAGGGAGCAGTTACTCTAGTGACGCTGAGGGGGCTGGTGATATAGGACACTTTGACTCTTTGTAGTTTGAGAGAGGGTCTTCCTGAGTTGCCCAGGCTGCCCTTGAACTTGTAATTCTCCTGCCTCAGCCTTCCAAGTAGTTGTGATTATAGTCATCTGCCACCACACCTGGACTGTCAGTATTTTTAATTGGGATTTGTTAATAGTATGAGAACATTGCAGTGTTTCCATGGGGTGCTGTCAGTATGCTGGACATCCACACTGAGTGATGTTTTGTTTATAGGAAAAGACCCAGGAACAAAAAGAAGTAGATCTGATTCCTAAAGTCCAAGAGGCCGTGAACTATGGTTTACAAGTACTGGACAGTGCATTTGAGCAACTTGACAGAAAAGCAGGGAACTCGGACTCTGAAGATGATGATGTTAACGAGCAGGTGGGCCTGATTCTTGAACGTAAGGTTAGCACATTCAGCAGGTATTTCCTGCTGCACCATGCTTCCTATTATGTCTGGGGCACTTTACTTAGGCACAGGATTGGGAAGAGCTGGACTTCAGCTCTAGGAAGTGCATGTGTCACTTAGAAGTCCTGTGGTGACCCTGTTGGAAGACTGGCTGTGCACAGGCTCTGATGGAGCACTCGAACACAGCACTAGCCAGGCTAGGGTCAGAGTTGCCGGGCATGGTAGGAGGGAGGAGGCATTTATACCAGTGACCATCACACATGGTCAGAGACTCAACCTCTGAGTCATCAGGGCAAAGCCAAGATTCAGATTGGGTAGGGCTTGTGCTTTTTTAAACTTCAGAAGTTTTAAAAAGGTTATGTTTATTTGTCTGGTACAGCATGTTTTGAAATACATATACATTGTAGGATACCTCCATCTGACTAACTTAAGGATTCCTCATGTAGTTATTTTTGTGGTGATTTTTAAGGGTACAATCTACTCTTAGTCTTACTCCTCTTGTCCAACTGAAACCATGTCCCCTCTGCCCAGCATCTCTGTAACCTCCCACTCCTCCAGTCTGAATTGGGATGAGAAGGATGGTGAGGCTCACGAGAGCTCTGGAGTTGTTGGGAACCTAGGACTCTGAGCACAGAGGGTTGAAAGGTGTTTGGGTTGTTCCCATTCAGCGGGTACAAGAAAAGCCACTGTGAGGTTTCCTGTGTAGGCTTCCTGTTCACCTCACAGGTGTGTACATGTTGCATATTCTTGTCAGATTATTAAAGGAGAGAGTGGGCAACACAGTCACTCAGTAGGGCTGCTATTGATGAACTCATGGTAAGTATTTCTATACATAAAAAGCAGGATAAAGCAGTACTGGTGAGCCAGACATACATATTTTTCATACATAGAAATACACATTAATATTTTTATGTTTTATTTAAAAGATATATTAATGTATTTTTCATATGTGTCTATATGTGTATATATAAGTGATATGTATCTGTAGTGAGAGACATACCTACACTTCAGGTGCAAGGTGCCTCACCAAATACTGTGTTTTAGAGGAGTGAACTGAGGGTGGGATTTCTCAGAGCTTCCCTAAATTTTCGGTTCCTTTCCATGATTCTCCTTTGGAATGCTTGTGCCCTTTTCCTTGTTTGTTTCCTGCTGATAAATTTCTTTTACAGCCCTTTGCCATTTTTGTTAACAGGTACTTGGGAGGGTTTCGCTTTACCTTGCTATCTTTACCTGGGATTTGAATTTTTTTGGTACAGGGGATCAAACTCGGGTCCTTGCGCTTGTGCAGCAGGTGGCGAAACCACTGAGCTAAATCCTCGGCCCATGGGATTTGAATTTTTTAAATCAGTGATTTTAAGAATTCTGTTCTTCTATTTTACTCTCAGTCCTTCTGTTTCTTACTGTCCGCGTTCATTACATAGCTTGTTTAAGGTAGTGAGACAAAGCAGTTGTTCAGGAGGATACTTGGCTTTTTTGACCAAACCATTCACGGCTGTTCACTTTTGCTCTTTGCGGGACCTGTACATCGACCACCCCTTGCCCTACCTCATTGGCTCCAAGCTTTTCATGGAGCAGGAAGATGTAGGACTTGGAGAGCTCTCTAGTGAAGGTGCTTGTCTTGTTTACTTTCTGGTCACTGGGACATGATACTCAACAACTGTAAGAAGAGGTTCATCTTGGCTCATTTGTACAGGTTTCAGTCCATGGTTGGCTGGCTCCAACGCAGGACAGCATAGCAGAGGGGCTTGGCAGAGGACTGTTGCTCATGGTTTGTCATTAGGAAGCAGAAAGCAATCAAGGGAGGAGGAAAGAGAGAGAGATAGACCCTTGTAGGCCACAGCTCCAGTGACCCACCTCCTCCACCAGGCTTCCCCTCCCAGCATCACATTTATAGCCATAAACTCACCAGTGTTCTAATCCACTGGTGAGTATCGTGCACCCATGATCCAGTCACCTCCCAGAGCCCCACCTGTGAGCACATGAGACTTTCAGGGGACATCTAGATAAAAACCATAACAGTGCTTGTCTTTAGCAAATACTCTTGTTACGGTTAACATATAGAAAGTACTTTCAAACTTTACATTAACATTGCAGAAATAGTTCAGAGAACTCACGTATACTCTTCACCCAGCTTCACCAGTTAACCTTTCACCACATACATTTTATTTTTCTCTCTATATGTGCACATAATGTTCTTTCAGAACTCTTTGATGCAGCATGCCCCAGTACTCCTAAATAGTTCTCTGTGTATTTTCCAAGAACAAGGGCATTGTCTTATACAGTATAGCCACAGTATAATGATCCAAACCAGGAAACTTTACTGGATGTAATAGCATAATGCTATTCCCTAATCTCTGGTCATACTTGAATTTTGCCAGTTGTCCTCATGATGCCTTCTCTTGTCTCTCTTCTTCCTCTGGTCCAGGACTCAGTCCAGGACCTGGGAGGGCATTTAATTGTCAAATGTCTCTGTCATCTTTTAGGGTGATGCAATTTCTCAGCCTTCCTTCCTTTTCATGACCTTGGCATCTTTGAAGAGTACAGCCACGTTTTTTTTTCCCGTTGTAATGAACAATTTTTTAATCATATGGAGAGATGCTTTGAGACTGTATAAATATCTGGTTCCTCACTATAATGGTATTTTTAATTCTCATAAGTGGATATATATGGCTTTTTCAGAGCCTCTGTGATCCTGTTGTGCAATATTGTGCAACTTAGAAGGAACCAAGGACATTCTCTGGTGTTGTTGGTGCTCACCTTTATCCTCTTCTCGCAGAAGGCTCTGTGGGCCATGATCAGGGCAGCATTGTGGACAGTGAGGAGGAGGAGGAGGTAAGGACTGTAGTCTGACCAAGTCATGGTGAGCGGAAAACCGAGGTGTTCAGCAGACAAAGTCCATATTTGTGAGTTTTCCATCCGAATTCATAAAACTTCTAACAATGATGGAAGCCACACTGAAGGTTTTCCTTGGAGTTAGATTTCCTCTTTGTCTTGTGTACAGAAACAAGGAAAACTGATCCCATTTCCTTTAGGCTTAGCTTCCTCTCATCTTGCCACCAAATCCCTCCTCTTGCCAGTACATTTGAGGGCAGCTTAGATCTCTGCCTTTGATCATAATCTTTGAGTATATTCTATCTCTGAATGGTTCCAGGGAAAAAATATCTGCATCTAACATTTTTATATAAAGCTTCTAGAGCACAAGATGCATTAAACATTGCTGTCACTTGAGCACGTTGGTGTCCACAGAGTATAATCTGGCTGCCCAGGCCTTAGGGGGGCATTGTGAAGGGCAGAGACACCATGAGGGGTGGCCCCTTGAGGGTAAGAGTTCTGAAAGGAGATAGATTTGTGTGTGTGGCCCTGTCCTTATCCATCCTGGTTTCTGCAGTCCCCTCTGCTGCCTGCCTTCCTGTAGCACCCAAGCAGAAATCTTAGCAGAAGGAAATGAGCCTTCCTTCGGTAACCGTGCCAAACTCAGTCGCTCACTCCCTCCTCTGTTTTTAACCATCAGCGTCACTCTTCACCAAATAACCGGGAGCAAATACTAATGTTCCCTTGGGTCCGATAAAGCAGTTATCCTACATAGAGGAAGTAGAGAGTAGAGTCCAGAATGTGAAATAATAAAACTGAACGTGTGGCTCTTACTTTGAATTCAGAAGTCAGAATCAAAAGTGCAGTTGTCAGGAAAAACTGGGTGGAGGTGTCAACATGGACCACAGAAGCCAGCTGTGACAGCCTTCATGCCCCATCCACCTCATCTGCATCTCTGTCCTTGTGGTGACCCGTGATTGGTGCTGCAGACTGAGTGTTATCAGTGAATGATTCACTTACCTCAGTGATTGTTTCTTACCTTACTGACTTCTTTCATCCTTGTATTTAATTCCTGTACAGCCCCAAATTAGTTGAGTCTGTCTCCATCGGCTTCACTTTGCATCTGATTGTCAGGCAGAACAATGAACATGAAGCTTCGAGTTTTATAGGGTCCTGAGTCCTTGAAGTGTGGGTGCACTTCCCCTCCCATGTTCATTTCTTTGTATCTGTTTCACCCAGAGTGACCTCTTCAGGGAGGCGCCCCAGGAATGGCACACCCCAAACCCCGTGAATGAAGGTAAGCTCCCCTTTTTCATGTGAGAGAACTCCATTCCCTTCCCATTAGCAGGTGGAAGCCCCAAGTGGTTCCCAAGCTAAAGGCTGTGGTGATTGCTTTGGACCAGTTGCAGACAGTTTGTCTTCCTATGTTAGCTTTCTGTTCTCTCAATCTAGTGGCAGAGCACCTGAGATAACTTACAAGGACAGGACGACAGGGTTGTTTGGGCTCATAGTTTCAGAGGCTGTCAGCCATGGACACTTGACACCATTGCCTTGTCCTGGGTGGCACAGCCCACTGTGGGGGAGGGTGGGTGGGTGAGGCTGCTCCCCTCTTGGCAGCCAGGAAGAGAGAGGGGAAAGGTCAGATCCCAGTGTCCCCTCAAGGGCACCCCTAGTGGCCTAACCTTCCTAAAGCAGTGATGGCGAACCTGTGGCAGGTGTGCTGCAGCCAACTGTTATCATTGAAAGCTCTAAAAGATTCACCTTAATTGTCCTTAAAAATCCAGCACCTATTGGTAGTGACACAGGCTGGGGACAGCCTTCAACAGATGGACCCATGGGGGATATTCCAGAGACACACAGCACTTGACTAATTTGACTCTTGGTAAAAACAGTACCACCTATAAACTCCTTCTTCAAGAATTCATAAAAGGTCGGACAGGAAAAGTATAGCAATATGGAGAATTTTTTTTTTGGTACCAGGGATCGAGCTTGGGTCCTTCCGCTTGCAAGGAAGGGTGCTAAACCACTGAGCTAAATCCCCGGCCCTATATATCTTTTAAATGATACAATACTCCTACACCAACACTCCTTGCGTACTACTGACTCATGAGGACATGACTGAGGAGATCCTATATAGGAAATTCTCAATGATTTCCATTAATATTGTGAAAATCAATCTATACAAACACAAAAATTGTAAGGAATAATTAAATACATGGTTATGGAAGGTTCTTTTGACTTATACATAGTTATAAAAAATACTTGTGAGTTCAGAGATGTAAAAATAAAGAAGTGTTTTGTCTGAGTAGCAATCTGTAGATCTCTACTTAGTTTTTCCATCAACTCCTGAAGCTCTAAGAGTCTTGGCACCCACTCTCAAGTTTATGCTAAATACTTGTATGAACAAAACTACTCTGTCTCCTAATTTTCCTTATTATTTGTACCTTACTTTGGTTAGAGAATGAATACAACTGCTTTGTGAAAACATACTGTTTGCTTGTTGGTTGCTTAGGAAGAATAACACACAAAGCCAATTCTACCACCAAATGATTTCTGCAAAGTAAGAACTATAGTATTATAAAATCATGCAGAGGTCCTCCTGGTTGAATTCTCTAGGCTTCTTTATTACTTTCTTTATGCTGTTTTTTTGATTGCTGTGATTCACACAACATGGTGTACAATTCCTTAACAGAAACACATTCCAATATTCATCTTCTTCTTACTTATTGAGGTTGTCTTCCTGAATTCTGTGGATGGTGACAGATTTTTAGTCACTGATTGTGTTGTAAGTGGATATTTGTCATCATCTTTCAAATTCGCCGATCTCTGACAAGTCTTATCAAAGAGGTTCAAACTTGTAGAACTCCAATCAAAAAATCTGAAAATAGTTTTATTCATTAAGATGTAAATGATAATAAAAATGTAACTAACTTGTATACATTCCTTCCTCAGAGGCACTCCCAGCCCCACAACACACTACTGCCTAGGGCTTATTGCACTTTGCAGGTCCCGTGAGTTTGATCATCATCGTCATGTCTCATTCTTTTGTTTTCCTTTATTAGTATTACTTGGATGTATCCAGCAATCTTTTATATACTTTGTTTCCCCTATTGTTCACGGTTAAGTCTTTAAGGATATGAATTTTAAATTAAAAACTGTCTACCTCAAATATAAATATCCATAATATTCTTTGTACATTTTAAAGACATTTAATGAATATGCTACTTTAGATTTTAAAAAAACTACAATAAGATATTCTTCCTTCAATATCCCAATATCTTCAGAATTCACTTTTTAAGGCTTGGGTAATACCATAATTTATACAAAAAAATGGTAGCTTTAAGTGACCCAATTGTTCCCATGTAAAAACTGCGTTAGCCTAGGTCAGTGGTGGTGAGCCCATGGCACATGTGTTGCAGTGGGCTGTTTGCTCTCATTGAAAGCTCTAAAAGGTTCGCCATCACTGGTCTAGGTCCACATTAAATTCAAAGATTACAGAGTGCCAGGAGACAGGAAATCAAAGTGTAACAAAAATATTTCCATTTTCCTTTATAAACAAAATTGTCAGATTTACACTTTTTAAGACAAATGAAAGAAAAAGGAAGTATAAAGGCTAACAGTCAGTTGTGGCTTTCATCAACCTTGTCTGTTGTTTAAATGGTAGTTTAACAGTGGGTTAGAATCCCTAGAATTCAAGATCCATTCACAGGGTCTAAGAGAACAAACAATTACCAAATGTTGTTTGCCAGTGGTGTTTTCAGAGCTGTAATGTGTCACACGTCTGAATTCTAATGATTAGTGATTCATAGCTCTAATGGGTATTGGAATGTGTGACTGCATGCTTGTATTTTACCTCCTTCAGATTTAATTTCTAGTAGAGTAAATGTCAATAGATCCAACATATTTAAAACAAAAGCTCTGTCAAATCTATACTAATTTTTAATACTATAAAAGGACTTACGGCTAAAAAGTTGCAGAATCACCGTTTTGAAGTTTGTCTACCAAACAGTCATTAAGAAATGATATTCTCCTTTTAATAAAGATATGAGATACCATACATACGTACTCATACAGTCTGTTAATGAGAACATCTATCTGCTTACGATCATCAGTATATCGAGACTGAGATCTCAGGGGCTGGGGATTTAGCTCAGTGGTTCCGGTGCCTGCCTCACAAGCACAAGGTCCCAATTTCAATCCCCGGTACCAAAAAAAAAAG